CCCCCCCCCTCCCTCCTCGGCGTGTGACGTAATATTTGAATGGCCTCTCATAGTTTTCTTAGTACGTTTAAAACTAGACAATAAATTAGATAAAATTGTTGACGTTGATATAACACTGTTAGATTTTTTTTATGACTTAGTGTATAAAGTTCTAGTCTAGAAAAAAAACTCATGTTGATACTTGAACAACTTCGCGGTTTTATTTAAAAATGAATGAACATGAAATTGCAGATTATATTGTTGGTATTTCTGGGTGGAAGAGGTTTCGGAGAAATTCATCAAGTGGACCAATTTGGTGAAAGTTCTATGGCCCATAACATATGGCTTTAGATATTCTTCTTTGAATATAATTTTGATATTATCTATGAAGATGCACTGTTAGAAATTTCTTGAAATTCTAGTCACAATAGTATCTGAATTTTTAGTGTTGTGAGCCTGAATTCAATTTTAAATGAAAACGTTCACTATATTTCTTATTCATCTTGCAAATTCAAAAAAATTTCATGTTAACGAATCATCGACTTTTCAATCAAAGCTTGAATTTCCAAATTCATCGTGAAAATTGAGCACATACAATTCAGTTTTCAATAGATTCAAAATTCAGAGAATTTATTGCCTGAATTTTTAAAATTTTCATGGTTTTTCAGTACTTGAATATTCAAGAAATTAACTGATTCGTCAATGAAGAATTCTACAGAAATTTCATGTAACTTTGTTAAAAATTTCAAGCTTTTTCACTTGAAATTTCAAGAGTAGTTTTCTAACAGTGTGATATTTTTGTAACATCTGCCAGAAAAATTCATTCTTTGTGATCATTTAGCATGCTTTCCAGTATATAATGCATGTTAACGCGATTCGAGCGCAGCTATACGTACTGAAAAAAGTGTGGGCTTTTAAGGCATCTCCACGCTTCCATGAGTGAACCAAAAAATAGGCTCCTTAGTTAGAAATATAAAGAAAAACAGACTCATCTTATCTTTATGGACTTGTCAAGCTACAGAAAAAGTTGCTCACCGTTTTCTTCTCAAATCCCCCATTCCCAAGATAAATTGGCAATTATTTATAATAACAAATTCAACTTCTGTGATTCTATTACTTCACTACTGAAGAATGTATGAATAAAAAATATTATATTCTGAAGATTGAAAGATGATGATTCACTCGAGTATTTGGAAGTTTTCGATTTAAATTCAATATTTTTGGTTTTCATTTTTTTTTGTTTTTGCATGCCACATCAAAATCATTATTTTTAGTAGTTGATGTTTCGTCAACCTCGAGAATATTCAGTATTAAAATAGCTCTACCCTTCGCCCGGGCTACCCTGTACTTTTGGATATTTTCAGTTTTTAAATTTTTCAATTAAAATTGCATGGAAAAAATTTGAAAAAATTCATACCATGTCAATATTATCTAAATTAAATTTCGCAAATATTGATATTTTTTCAAACATTTCACTCTTATAAATAAATAATAAAGCTTGTTTGCAAAACGGTGGATTATTTTTTATGAGGTGTCAAAAAATTCTTGATTTTTTCACATTAATGAAAAAAAATTCAGATTTTAATCGTTGATTACAATGGAACTGTTTATGTTCACATAAGACACTGGGTTAAATCCTGCTTTTTACACATTTCTTCTTTGAAAAACTAGACCCATAATTAAATTGAGAAAAAAATTAGAATTCCGAATCTAATCGAGTTTTCTGCAATTTTTTGCAGTTTTCAATAATCTTTAAATTTACCGTAAGGGTAGAGCTACTTTAACCCCTTAGTAGGCGCGCGGTTCCATCAGTATTCTTGAGTTGAGACCCGAGCTGCATCTCGGACGGCGAAAACATGACTTTCCGTCTTTGGTGCCAATTTATTATTATTTTGACACGTCTGCAAAGGAAAGTTTGCATTTTCCTCTCTGATGAGCGGGAGGCAAGTGAACCTGCCCGAGGCAGATTCTGCACTTTCCACCCGCTCAGTAAGGAGTAATGTACGAACTTTCCGGGCACGTGTGTGGAAAAACTAAGGTATATTCTATGGAATCTAAGCTACTCGGGACGGGTAAAAAAGGTACTCGTACTGAAGTACCAACAGAGTTCTATACAATATATTGAGTTCTATACAAAACTCAATATAAATAGCAATAGTAGGTACTCAAATCGAAAACTCGTAATTTTTTTCAGGAATTCATTCAAGATTACAAATGATGATCCCGAGGAGCTGGTCACTCCTCAATCGAGTGACTCAGTGATTCTCAGAATCAGATGATTTCCGGTGATTTCCTGTTGATTTCTGTGATTTCTCAAATGATTTTTGTGATTTCTCAATCAGTATTAGAAATCATGATTTCTTTCGATTTCATTATTTCTAGTAGATTTCAATGATTTCTTCCTTTCAAGAAATCCCTGGAGAAATCATGATTTCGGGATCAGAGTGGAGCATCTGTCGATAATGGCAGTTTTCTACATGACGTTACAATACGTAAGGATGTCAAAAACTTCATAGCGTCACATTTCGGGATTGGGTGATTTCGAAAGCATCAATACCATAACAAAAATTGTAGACTTAAAACTGCAAAATCAATTTCGATTTTGCACTTGTCGATTTTCAGTGATTTTCATTGATTTCTTTCTTGATTTCCAGTCGAGTGGTCCAGTGATTTCCTAAGTGACCAGCCTCTCGGAAGATCCAAATGTTGGAGAACAAGTGAACACACAGAAAAATCTGAAGATGAAATACATTTTTGAAATGGTAATTCACGTTTTCAAAAATGAAATTTACGATTTTCTCAAACGGATAAATTACGCTTTCGAGATCGTAAATTACGGTCAGAATAACGTGAACTATGATTTCAAGAACGGGAATTATGATTCTTAAAGTTGGGAATAAATTCGATTTGGAATGCACCCAAAAAAATCTCAATTTACTGGTTTTTTCCTACAAAATATCTTCTCCTGAATACTTCTATTTACGAAAATGCGCAAGAAAACTCATTTTATCCGTCGATAATATTCGCTTTTCTCAATGAAATAATCAATTGAAAGTACTGAAATTAAGTCATAAAAGTACTTGAGAGAAGTTCAAAAATTAATTTTCACCAGTACCTTTGATACTTGCGAAAAGTAGGAAAGGGTAGGGTAAAACTAGATGGGCAAAACGGACCGCAGGGCAAAACGGACCACTGACAGAAAATTGATAATTTTTTGATTTTTTTGATAGTTTTTCTTCCGAAGGGAAGCAAAAACAAAAATTCAAAATCATTTGTGGTTTGAGTCTTCACTTCTTGTCTATAAAACCCCTATGACAGTTAGATCCTAAAACTCACTTTTAATTCAACACATTCAGTGTCCCTGATTTGAAGGAAAGAAAAAAAACAAAAATGACTAATTTTCTGTCAATGGTCCGTTTTGCCCTAGGGCTCCGTTTTGCCTTGCGGTCCATTTTGCCCTTCCGGTCTGTTTTGCCCTATCCTCCCGTACTAAAAGTACTAGCAGAAAGTAGTGAAGCTACTTCCTCCCAGCAGTATTTCTACTTGATCGGCAGAGGCGGTACTTCATTCAAAGATACAAAAAGTACTTGGGACAAGTATTTTTCGAGCTTTTCACAGGTGAACTTCCTTCAAGTACCGGTCGGTAGGGATATCCAATTTTGTAACATTTAATTACCGTTAAATACTGCAGCCATGCATTAAATAACATCACTCTTAAATTTATTGAGTACTCAAGTATCATCAATTCAAATATTCAAATTTTTAACTATTTTATCAATCAATAATTGAGATTTGCCCGGTGGCTTGGCGCAGTGGGTAAGTTCGTTGCCTCACTTGCGAAAGGTTCCGAGTTCAAAACCGGGTAGAATGGTGAGATCTAACCATTTAAAGTCTTGATCATCATCGCAGCATACTCTAACCAGGTCGAAGCGATGTAAAATAACGATGAAAAAAAATAATTGAGGTAGGAAGATTAATGATTATTTGTGTAACTGAAAATCCCCTTTTAAGAAATTTGAATTATTCACTTAGTAGTCAATTTACAGTTTCATATTAACAAATTTTAAATACATCATTATTCGAAAAAATCAGATTAATAATATTATATTATTTGAAAAATTAGATCAACATATTTTAAACCTTCATTAATGTCAACGTGAAATTCTTGTAATATTACAGAAATTTAATATTGATGGGATCCCTGCCGGTCGGTACTGGTGAGAAATCCATTTTTCTTTGGGTGATCCATCCCTTACGTTACTTACCATCTGAGATGCATTCGCCGCACGAATCTAGTTACGATCATGACCGTGACGTGGCACTACTCGTCTCTTTCCACCAACTCAAGTGAATCTGCCCTGATGGTGATCCCGTCTGACTAGGGGCGAGCTGTTTCCACTTGCCGACAAGTCACGCCTTCCTGTAATTAATCCACTTAACTATTTTCAAGCAGTGAAAACCATGAACTCAGTATAAAAATTTTTTCAAACCTCAGAATTAAAATCGAATGAACAACCATAAACTCCATCCCATCAAAAAATAACAAAACAGAGAATGTAAAATTAATTTTAAAGTGAAAATTGTCAGGTACGTAAATTGATATTTTACCATGTTGATGAGCAGAAACTCTTATCTGCATTTACAGCATTTTTAAGACGAAACTGTTGGGTATTTTTATGTGTCATATAAAGCCAGAGATAATTGTCTCTCTACCGCGAGAGATAAACGCGTGAAAATTGCATTCAACATGTGCACACAGGGGCATCAGTTTTTGCGGCTAACTCGACCACAGGACAATGGCGCATAATAACTGAAAACGATTTCGAGTCAGGTGAGTCGTGAAATAGCGATATTATTGTTTTCACATTAGAATAAAAAGATGTTCGGATATATTGCTTGCACGTACTACTGAAACTTTCATTTCTATATCTAATCTCAAATGTGGTTTCTATTTCAGAGAAATGGACATTTGGATATGGGAAAGTGCGGGTTTTTAATTTTGTTACATGAATATTACCGTTCACTGAAGAGATTGAACTGAAAGGGTTCTGATGGTTTGACGTGACGTTTCCGTTATTTTATGTCTCGTACAATTGTACATGTAATTCAATTTTGTGAACCATTGGGTAAGTGAATGTGGGAAATTTATTCATTGATATGCGGTTCTATTGATTGTTGTTACATCATGACTTTGAAATTGAGACTCATCGTCATAAAGTCTTTTCGATAAGTAAAAAATCAGTGAATTCGATTGGGAAACCAGTTGAATAAATATTTGGTTTGATATGGATTGAAATGTAAATATTAAACATACATGAATGAACGAAATTTGCAAGAGCTTTTTTTCTAGTGTATATTCTTTTTCACATGAATATAGCGAATAAGAAAATACTTTCATGATACGTATTCTGCTCGAATGATCAATAATCTCTAGTAAGTGGAACAATAAAAAAATGAACTGTGAATCTGATGCCTTTGGACTCGAATAATTAGAACCGAAGAGATTGTTATTTTTGTTCCATTTGTCGAAGAGAATTTCCATAATTATTTTATCCGTAACCCAGTGATATTATTGGAATAAACTCAAAAATTATTATTATGAACCCGAGCATGTCTAAACAACTTCGTTGTAGTTTCTGGAAAACACAAACTTTTTTCTTTAAACTGCCAACGTTTCAGCTATTAAAGGGGGGCCCAGGTAAAATTCTGAAAGTCACCGGTTGATAAAAATAACTATCTCTACTGACTTGGTTGGCTTCCGGATGGATGCCGCGTTGAGTTTCAGCATTGCGCCGACGTTTCGCAAACATTGCAGTCTGCATCTTCAGGGCTATGAGCTCCGATTCTGAGCTCCGATGTGTGGGGGCAGTCCTTATATACCTTCCCTTGTGGTGGTGGG